CTTCAACGACGCCGTGAAGAGACTGTTCCCGTCGGTTCCTCTCCTCTTCGTAACGACGGCTTGAAATGTTTGTCCATGCCTCAGCTATTAATGTCAGTACACAAGCAAGCATGAAAAGTGTAACATATTCTCCATACAGCTTCTGAATCTGAACACAACAATTAATTAGTTCTTGGCAATTAAATCAATTGTGTATTCAACTTTTATTAAGAAATTAAATCAAGGATTTGAGTTTTGGATGTATATATAGAATCACAAGCAATGAGTGATGGATTTTTTTTTAAACTCCCAAAACAAATGTTCATTCACCAAGATTAACAGTCCATTGAGCTACAAGAACACCTACAAAAACCCCTTCCAGAGTTGCAGAGTTCATGATTTGGGAAATTTGGTTAAAGCCATGTTTGGCTTTGTTGCTCATTATAAGGATTGGGATATTGGGGTCTAAAGGTTGGAAATTAAGGGTGCTTTTGTCCTTTCATGCTTCTAAGGGTAGTATGATCTTTTAAAATAATTTAACAAATTTTAATGGTTAATTTCCACCGGATCTTGGCCGAATGGGGTGATTTGCAACTTTTTTGCATAGTTCAGGAGGTTTATTGCATTTGTAATAGTTCAGGGGGTTAGTTGCAAATTTTTTCATAGTTCAGGAAGGGTTTTTTGCACTTTATCCTTCAGAATAACTATTTTTGTTATTTAGGGTCAATAACTTTAGTCAATGTGACGAGACCCACAAAAAGCCATTAATATTGGGAAAGGCCCAGCCACAATAAATTGACAAGTAACGTGTCTTTTTTTGTTATCATCTTTTTTTCTCCTTCAAATTGTATTTGTACAATTTTTTTAAAGTAAGAACTTGGTTTCTGTTCAACATTTCTATTTTGAGTGAACATAATTCAAAAGAATTTGAAAATGATTTTCTAAAACTAAAATGAATACGGTAGTTGTATTCGGTTGCAATTCCAATTTTAATAATTTAAAATTGGAATTGAAAAACCATACCATGCATATGAAATTAATACTTTAAGATTGGAATTGAAAAATCATACAATAAGGAAAAAATTTTATTCATATTATAATCAAAGTTTGAACTAAATTACTTGTATTAAGGTATTTTGAATATCTATCTATTATTGTTATTATTATTTGTTAACTATAAGACCGCTTTAATTTGCTCAACATAATATGTAATCAATGAACCTGTGGCCTAGCGGTATCAGTTTCTTACTTCTCAAAGAAAGGTCAGGAGTTTAAATCTCAAAAGAGACATGCGTGTGTAGTACCAACTACCAACTAGGAAAAAAATATATATATGACTTGTTTACTATTTTTTACTATCCAAAGTATGTTAATAAAATGAGCTCAAAATATCAAGGGTTGTAATATCATTCTACTTTTCCATCTTTTAAAGTAAAAGATAAATGATTCAAGTCTCTACAAGGACAAAATAAGTGTATGAGTTTTCTGCTTAGATAAATAAAATAAAAACTAATTTAAATGAAAATATTTAATTTTCTATTACAACCCCATTTTAATTATCTAAAAATTACTCTTTTTTTAAAAAATAAAAATAAAAACTAAAAAACACTAAACTAAATAAAACCGGTAGAACTTGTAGTATATCACCTGGTCATTGGCCCGAATTATATAATAATCTCCTGTTTTAAAGGGGAGATTATAATTTAGGTGTCATATTGAAAATTTGTGAGAGTTACATTAAATAAATAAATAACAAACCTTTTTAACGAAAAAACTTCTTCAAAGAATACGTTCAAAAGTGCCATGTGATGGACAGTCTAACATTCAAACTTCGCACCCCTTAGCAAGGCAGGACTTAGGAAATTGTTTGAACATCAACTGTAGTCAACATGAACCATGAATGGTGAGTGGTAAAAATATGCCAACCATGAGACATTTTGAACATTTATTTTCTTTTCCCTTTATTCTACATGGAAAATTTAAACACCCGAAACTTTTCATTACCTTTAGAATTCGAGAACCTGCCATTTGATTTCATTTTATTGAATTTGAACATCACGTTGACAAAGTCATAAATTAATTGGGTGGGGACAACTTTAAAAAATAATGAGATTAAATTCTTAATAAAAATAAGATTTAAGTTAATTTTGAATTGATAATAATTTCGTTGAATACATTTATAATTTTCCTTAACTACTTTTTATGTTTTTAAAACCTTTCAATTTCGCTATTTATATTATCAAAGATAAAGAGTTCATGTCTCAATAAGAATAAAATATGTAATTATATTATTTTCAAAGAAAAAAAATCATCAACACTAAATTTATATTTCTCAATCTCTAAAATGACTGTCCTAATCGGTAGAATCAACAACAATATCACAAATAAATAAACAAATTGTTATGTTTTGTTTTTTTATTTTTTAATCTCAATCATAAATTAATTAATATTTTTTTATCATCTTACGAAGAGATAGTTTTTCGACTATTTATTTATTTATTTATTTAGTTAATCAACGGACAGAGTTATCAACGGTGGGGGGAGAGAAGGAAAAAAGTGAGAGAGGAAAAGATAGAAGTGGGGGTGTTTGAACAAGTACTAAAAAAATTCAATGGTAGCGCCCAACCCCACTACATGCGAAAAGGAACAAAAGAAATTATCCATAGGCTGTATACTACTAAATTGTATAAAACTCTCAAAGATATAGTCTATGTTTGTTTGAAAAAAAAAAAAAAAATGCCACAAACAAATTCCTCAAATTGTATTTCTATCCTTTAAAATAGCGAAGAACCTGCTAGGAAATCAAGAAGACAATAGCCTATGTCATATTGTGCGTGTTTGTATGTTACACAATAAAATAATTTTGAAAAAGTACGTGTTCAATTAATCTTTCATTAAATAAAATGTTTGAAGTTTGCATATATATATATATATATATATATATATATATATATGAGTACATACAGGAAATTCAGCTATACATGTTTTACTAACCTTTTATATATCACAATTTCATATCAATAATAAACAATTTAAATTCAATTATACATATTTTACTAACCTTTTATATGTCACAATTTCATATCAATAATAAACAAATTTTTTTATTTTAAAAAAGCTAAATAAATTGTCATCCATCCCATGCACAATATAAAAATAATATAAGAAATTCAACATAATTGTTGAGCATTTAGTCAAGATATAAAGCAAAATGAAATAAGCATACCAAATAATTATCAGTCATTATGATATAATGAAAAAATTATAAAAATAAATAAATTTTAAGTCAAATAACCATTAATGTTAGAAAGATGCTTCTTAAGGGCAACATTCAAAAGGTCGGTCCCAAAATTTTTGAGCATCTCTAGTTTTTAAAAAGTTGAATATATTATGGAAAATAAGTCACTTTTTTTTGAAAAAAAAAATTAAGAGTACTACTAGTCTATCATATCATCATTCCCGTATTCACTAACAGGCCACTCGGGGTCAATGTGGGAAATTGCTTGCACATCATCATTTCCATGTAGGGTCAATGTCGCTGATAGTAGCACCATATGACATTTCAAAGAACTAATGGAACCATTTCTCATTACTTTCGTAGTTCATACCTTTGTAATTATTTGTGTGAATGAAGTGATAGTAAGAATGAAAATTTTTTCCTTATAAAAGCCAACTTTTACCAACCCATAAAATTGCTTAAACATTGACGGTAGTATGTATTAACTCTCAAACTTTCTATCTAAATTTCATTGTGAAAAATCTCAATATGAATTTTCATTCTTTATAGCGGTGAGAAAATGTTAGGAAACTCTCAAACTTTCTATCTAAATTTCATTGTGAAAAATCTCAATATGAATTTTCATTCTTTATAGCGGTGAGAAAATGTTAGGAAATCATAGCTATTTCATATCACGTGTATTTCCATGTAATATATTACATGAGTAAAATATTGCCAAAAAAGTGCATGTTCAAATAAGTACAAATTTGATTGAATCTATTTTTATATAAATTTTTATAATTAAACTTGAATTATTTTCGATATCATATCTTACTATCTATTACTTTATCATATGCATTATTTTTTTGTGTTTTATACATCAAATATAAAAATTATCACATCAAAACAAAAATATATATATAATAAATAAAATGTCTATTAGTGTAACCAAAAAGTATGTGACTTAATTGGTATTTTCTCTCATTTCAAGGGAAAATGTAAAGGGTACAGTCTCCCTAAGTACATTGTGGGAATTAATTTGCAAGACAAAAATAAATAAATAAATATTTTTGTTATACTAAAATAATGAAGATAATTAAAATAAAACATGTCTAAATTCAAACAAAATAAATAAAATTAGAGTAAAATGTTTCTATTCTCTTAGAAACTAAGTAAAGAATAATTTTAAATCCAAACAAATTGTTACATTAATTCTATTTGATTCTTAAAATTGATAATTATAGTGGTTCATTGTAGAAATAAAATAAATAAAGTAATTATAAATTAAGTACATTATTATAATAGTACTTTAATGCTACTTTTGGTAATTTTTGTTTTCTATGTCACAATCATACACTATAAAAGTAATTTATTAATAATTTTATAAACCTATTAAATGAGAACTTAATGGCTTAACGGTACTTAGGCTTTTATTTTTAAAAGGGAGATCATGGATTCAAGACTTAATGGAGGTGTGTGTGTATGAATACCAGACAGAGTCGCATCAATAAATTAAATTGACAATTAATTATAAAATGAGATCAGGAAAAGATCTCTAATTTATAGATGACAATTAATTATAAAATGAGATCATGAAAAGATCTCTATTATAAAACGACAATGTTTACGCGTAGGCCAACGGAAAGAACAATGCTTGCACATAGTCAATGTCAACACTAACATATGCAGAGTACTGTGCGTACGTAGCTATTACATTTTGTCTCTCTCTCTCTATATATATATATCTATACATTAATTGGTCTCTAGCTCTAAGGGATTTGGCACACAATTAAGCAAGGTTCCTATGGCTGCTTCATCTTCTTCTTCACTGCCTCCTCCTCCTCTCCCGTCTCGGGAGTTTGACGTGTTCTTGAGTTTTAGAGGTGAAGATACTCCAAAACCTTTGTGGGCCATCTTTACAGGGCTCTGGATCAGAGAGGAATCAGGACCTTTAAGGACGATGAAAAGCTTGAGAGAGGAAAATCCATATCTCCGAAGCTCCTCAAAAATATTAATGTATCAAGAATTGCCCTGATCGTTTTCTCCAAGAATTACGCTAATTCGTCATGGTGCCTGGATGAATTGGTGGAGATCCTTGAGTGCAGGAGGAACAAGGGACAGACAGTTTTGCCCATCTTCTACCATGTCAAAGCATCCGAAGTTCGGCACCAGAAGAGGAGTTTTGAGGAAGCATTTACAGAGCCTGAAAAAATTCATGAGAAGGAGATGGAAAGGGTGAAGAGATGGAGGGCTGCTCTGGAGGAAGCTGCAAATATAAGCGGCTTGGATTTACAAGATGCAGCAAATGGGTATATTTAATTCCATTATTTACTATTTCAACTCATTATTTACTATTTCAATTCATTTATAGTTTGTGGTAAAACATAACCACTTTATCAATATCAGCAACCTAATACAATATAGATTCCTTATACATGTTCTGCTTTATCAATTATTACTAGCTTAGTACTTCAATGTATATATCATTATTAACATCCTAATACAATACAATTTCTTATCTTATCTATAATTTATGGTGGAAAATTTCAATATCTATAATTAATGTTAGTACTTCAATGTAATTATATTTTTAAATTTTAATTGGATTTCAGCATTTTCAACTACCATTCTATTTCTAGCAAATGGCTTGTTAAAAATATTTAGATGAATAAGCACTTATTTAAACCCTTTCAACTGTTTTTTTTTCCCTATATATATATATATAAGTCATAGTGAACAAGCACTTATTTAAACCTTTAGGGTGTGTTTGGATAAATAGGAGAGAAAAGAAAAGAAAAGAAAGGATAGTAATAATTTTTATTCGTGTTTGGATAGATAGGAGAGAAAAGAAAAGAAATGATAATTATTCTTATTTGGATAAGATAGAGGAGAGAAAAGAAAAGAAAGGATAGTGACAAAATTACTATCCTGCCCTTTCATAACCACTTCATACATTATCCATTTCCAAAATCTTATTTCTTTTTTATAGTTCAATGTCATGGGTAAAAACAAAAGTAAAAAATAAAAATAATAGGTAAAAACAAAATTAGATAGGACTCGTTCAACCTAAGCAACCGGGAAGTAGAAATTATATTGTTTGCCTAAAGCCCACAGAAAAAGTAATACATTAAACGATAAAATCACAATTATAAAATTTGGTACTGCCATCTTAAAATTATATGCTATTGACGGGATCATGTACATATCTGTGTACATATTGCAAAATCTTTTTTTTTGTTAGATTCAATTTCCGCCCCTAAAAAAATGCTAATGGGACTCTGTGAGATGATCACCAATAAAATCTTGTATCTTTTTGTGAATTTGTTGCTAGATCAAACTTCAATCGGCTGAATTACAGTGGCTTCTTAACTGCTATTCTAGATAGAGTTAGGACATAAATGGAATTACTTTTAAGTATGTTGATTTGTAAAGGGTATTTTTGGTAACCCATAATTTATAACTTACTATCCCTCCCTATCTCTCCCTATTTTCTCAAATTGGGAGAGGAAGCCCACAAGTGATAAGAAGGGATAGCTATCCCTCCCTTTCTCTCCCTATCCCTCTTTATCTCACCACTTAACCTACCCAAACACACTCTTACACTATCCTCTCTTTTATTTTCTCTCCCTATCCCTCCAAATCAACCTTACCAAACACACCCTTATGTATTTCTCTCCCTACCATCTCCCTCTCTGTTTTTTATTGTCACCGTTTTTTGTTGTCACTGTACTTATATTTTAATGTGCTTTATACTTGATACGAATGAGGACAAGTTTATCCAACAAATTGTTCAAGTCATTTCAAGACAATTACCACCTACACCATTAAGTGTTGTTAAGTGCGGAGTGGGTATTGATTCTCGAGCAAAAAATATAATCATGTTGTTAAATGAAAGGTCAGAGGGTAACCTCTTTGTCGGGATTTGTGGAACTGGAGGAATAGGTAAGACAACCGTTGCCAAAGCGGTTTTCAACCAAATATCAAAAGAATTTGAAAAAAGTTGTTTTCTTCGAAATATGAGGGAAGAATTAACCAAGCAAGATGGATCAATCAGGCAAGATGCACTAGCTAAACTACAACAAAAACTTCTCAGAAAGACCCTAATGGATAATTATTTAGAGATATCAGATTCTGACCAAGGAATGAATGAGATAAAGGTTAGACTTGAGCACAAAAAGATTCTTATAGTTCTTGATGACGTAAATCATGAGAAGCAATTATAGAGTCTAGCTGGGAAAAGAGAAAATTGGTTTTGGTTCGAGAAATAAGATAATTATAACTACTTTGGATGAAAGGTTGTTAAGGAAGTACGATATTGAAACATACAAAACTGAGATATTAGATGATAAAGAAGCACTTGAACTTTTCAGTTGGCATGCATTCGAGTAGGACATGTAAGATTATTTATTTAATTGTGGCCCACATGATTTGGACATGCGACATATTATTTGTTAGTTAAATAAAATAGATATCAAATTAATATTATATTATTTAGTCAACTTATAAATTACCTTTTTGGTAATTACTTATTGGAGAAGTGTTTTCCTTTCTTATTTCTTACTTTGATAGAAAGTAAAATTATGTTACTAAAAGGAAAACTGGTTTTCTATTTACCTTTATAAAAGTGCATACACTCTATCAATTATGTACAATTAATGATACAACACGTAAAAGTTTTATATGTGCAAAAGACCAAGAGAGATAAACCAGTTTCCACCTTTGTCTGTTGATTAAAGTTGTAGATTAGTTCGTGGTTAAAGGATCTAAACGTTGAATTTAATCTCAATAAGGTTTGATATCATGAATCGAGGTATTTATATCTAACCATTTATTTATGCATTATAGATATGTGAAAATTATGAAACTCTAAGATATGGGATTCATGTAAATTTGTGATTAATGGTTTAGCACGAATTATTAAAGTTTACAGGTGGCATCAGAGCTAATAGTTTAGGAACTCATTATTTTCCTTTAAAGTTGCATAAATAATATGTATACATTTAAAATATAATTTGTATAGTATATTTGTTTGGAATCGGAGGTATATTTTTGATCAGTTTCATGTTGATCAGTCTTATGGGCTTGGTTGTATAATGTCTTATAATTCTCAAGGGCAGATCTTGATCGGTTTATATACCAAACAATTTATTTTGATTTTCAACCTTGATTTTCGAGCCAAATTGAATTACTGAAAGTTGAATACTAATATATAGTTTACATGATAGTTTATATATGAGTAATAGTTCAAACAAATGCATAATGCGTGTAAGACAAACAACATATATGCTTTATGTTCTCGATTTTCGTGCATGATTTGAATCATACATGAAATTGAAAAGTTGTAAGAACTATTTGTTATTGTTTTGAAGATATAACTTGTCCAATGCTTTCAAAGATCCGTACTTTTTATTTTCTAATATATATATATATATATATATATATTAAATAAATAAAAGTATGTGTATTTATTTATTATATTAAAAAAAATTTAAAATTTTTAGAATAATGTATGAGTTTAGAAATTTTATTTTATTTTATTGGACATTCAAATAACTAATTATTTTGTACCTATACATACATACATAATGGAGAATCAATTTTAAATTGATTCAATTATGACCTTCTAGTCCGAAAATAAAATACACGTATATATATATATATATTATATATAAAGTAAAATAATATTTTTTATTGAATTTTTGGACTATTAAATTTCTGGGATCGAACCTATCTAAATTTGGATCGATCAGTATAAATATGTGTGTATAATGTTAAATGGGTAAATTAATGATTAATTAGTTATTAACTAATTTAATATTCATATTATGTGAGGGTGAGTAGCTACCAAAGTGGCCTAACCATAATAGTCGATGAATATTAATTTTAGTAGTAAATATAAGTAGTAAATATAACTTAATGATGAATTAATCTCTGTCTAATTTAATATTCATATTATGTGAATATTGGTAGCTACCAAAGTGGCACAATCATAATGATTGATGAATATTAATTTTTGTAGTAGACATAATTAATCATAAATTAGTTACTATCTAATTTAATATTCATATTATGTAAAGATTGGTAGCTACCAAAGTAGCCTAACCATAATGGTTGATGAATATTAATTTTAGTAGAAAATATAATTGCAATATTTCATGAATTATGATACTTATTATTTTTTTGTGATATTCATAAATATTGAGTTTATTTAATTATGAGAAATAATTCTCCAAAAGGGAATTGATTTTCAAGTGATTAAATGAAAATTAAGGGATTGCATGTATTTTTTAATTAGGTAGATATAGGATATCCAAAGGTAACGTATCTGTTTAATTAAATAATACATCACCAATGAAATAATACATACAAATACAAATAAGCATCATTATTAGTATTTTACAGTTGCCACTTAAAGGGGTACTATAGTTATACATTGTATTTATATTTTTAAGTTATATATACATCTTGTTAACTCAAAGCATTATTGTTGTGAGTATTTTATCTTCTTCTATTTGTTTTATTACATCCTTTAATACGCATGCTACATTTATTCTACTTCTCAATAGGACTAACTTCTCATAATGGAATGAGTAAATTAAGTTCAAAATTTAAGTGTGCTAAATCAAAGATTTAGTATTTTAAATTGAGAAACCTAATGTTATTATTGATAAAGACAGTGAAGAAGAAAAGATTCTCCATAAAGCTTGGGAGAGATCGAACGGATTAAGTATTATGGTTATGCGAATAATTGTTTCCCATAATGATAGTGATAGTGCTAAGGAATATTTGATTATAAAAATGTTTTCGTATTGTAGATAAATATCTAAAATGAAAATTATTAATTGATATAACTGCTATGCATTTTTTATTGGTACTCGTACTATGTATGAACGTATTTTTAGATAACTAATGTTGCTGCAAAATTAAAAACTTTATGGATGATTGTGAATGAAAATTTTCTTATTCAATTTATTATCAATTTCTTGTTTATTCAGTATGGTCATTTCAAATTAACACTATTAAGACAAGTGGAAAGTGACTTAATTGACTATTATGTTAATTTAGGAGGAGACAAGACTTAAGGAGCAAGGTAATCATTATGTTCATTTGATGACTCAAGAAGTTATAAATAAATTTTGGGAATAAGCCTGAAAAGGCATTAAGTGAACAAAACCCAAAAATTAAAAGATTTAGGTTAATCTACTAAAAGAAATTAATGTAATAATGAAAAAGTGTCATTAATGTATTAAACACTTTTAGAAAGATTACATGAAATATATAGAATGATTCGAAAAAGAATGGTAAGCTTTTGGCTTTTG